AAATGAAGTAAGATTAATAATATTCTGCATTTATACTATCTTCAAGTATTAATTTTTAATAAATAATTAAGAAAAGGGCATGAGGAATTAAAAGCACATAGTTGCTTATTGAATAAAAGTCAAAGAAAGTTGTCAAATATTAGAATGAATTAACAGATATAATTAAAGAAACAAAGGTACATTTATCTGAAAAAAGTGACACTGATCTGGGAAACCCCACTAAAAGAAGAATTAATGTATATAATTACAGTTGGTATTCTGAAGAAGTATTTTTCAATAATATATTATATGCCAAATAATTATAATATTAATCATAATTACTTCTTATAGTTAAAGGACTTGTTGATATATTTGGATGAACATTTGAAATCAATTCAAGCATTCTAGCCAACTTGTAAATGATATTATAATAATTCATATTTCTATGACATAATATTACCAAAAGGTTTGCCGAATTGGATATACAGTTTGGAAGAAATTTTGGAACGTGAATAAGAAAAAAAGATAAAAAAAAAGAAAAAAATTGGTAATTAAATCTAAAAGACAAAAAATTGTCAAATATGAAGAATCATTAATGTATTCAGAAAGTGAGAAACAAACTAGAGAAAGTGCACAAATGGACAAAATTTGGGAAACAGTTATATTAACAGAAAAAAGCAAAAAATCTCAGAAAATATTTAACAAGGTAAAATCAAATGAGACTAGTTTTAAAAAAATAAAGTCAAGATCTTTAAAGAGAAAAGAAAAGTAAGTAGATAAAAAGAAAGAGAAAAAAGAGAAAGAGAAAAATGACAAATAATTTAGTTAATTAAATTTGTAATTTTTTAATAGATTTTATGAAATTTGGCAGTAATTTTTTTGCTGAATTTTTTTTCTGCAGTAATTTTTTTGCCAAATTTTTTGTCATAGTAATTTTTTTACTGAATTTTTTTTGCCACAGTATCAATTTTTTTGTTGAATTTTTTGTACAGTATCAATTTTTTTGCTGAATTTTTTGTAACAGTATTAATTTTTTTGACAAATTTTTTGCCACAGTATCAATTTTTTTGTCGAATTTTTTGCTATAGTATCAATTTTTTTATCAAATTTTTTATCACAAAAATTTTTTTTTACCATAATATTGCCGAATTTTATGTTGAATTTTTTTTCACAGAATACCGATATTTTTTTGCCGATATTTTTAATGCCAAATGGCAGTAATCGTAAATAATTTATCAATCTTTTTATTATTAATTTTTGTCAAATTTGACAATAATTCGATAGCTAAATAACATAATTTTGACTAGTAATATTAACCATCCAACCCTTAACTGAATCTATTCCACTCACAAAGTGATTAGTAGGTTTATATAGGATAAACTGCAGGTTATCATTAATATATATATATATATAGAAATATATAGTTTGTATAAGATGATTGATGTAATGCTTAGAATTTCATTATTCAAGATATTAAGTTAATTTTTAATAAAAGTACTTGTATCTAATACCAGTTGTAATTTTTTAAAAAAAAATAAGAATCAACAAATCTTTTTTTTTATATAATTTAAGTAAATTTTTCTTGACAATAAACTATTTGATAGATTAAAAATTCTAGAAATATTTTATTGGTGATTATTTTTTATATTGGCATAATATAATATATCTTCACTTGAAAGTTTAATAAACAAGGTTAAGTCATTATTTCAAGACAAAAAAAAAAACAAATTAAAACTTTATTAATTAAAAAGTTTATATTATTTTTATTAAGTTTTTTAAGTTTTGAGTTTTAATTGATTTATTGAACTTTTTCTAAGATATTAATTTATATTGATCTACTTAAAAACTTAAAAAGTTGATATTATAAATTAATTCATTCTAGAGTTTTTTCTATGAAATTTATTATTAAAATATTGTATTTATTTGACTGGCTTCTCTTTTTTTTCTATTAAAGAATATTTGTTTAGACTTTTTAATATGTAATAACTGAATTTCAAAAATTAACTTTTTTTTTTTCGATTAGGTTATTATTAATTAATAAAATCAATTTTACTTGCGAGGCAAGTTTATTTAAATCTCAAGACCGTTTTAAATCTGTGTTACCAAAATTTAATTTGACACCGACGTTATTTCTGGTAAAATTATATGATTGGTGTCGTATAAATCGTTTTCGCAGTAGAGTCCGTCAAAAATTTTTTTATTTTTCTAAGGGATCAAACGGTCCCGGTGCCTCCATTTCGCACCCATTTATTTTTATTTTTGAGAAAATGAGCGGGCTTACTACCTCGTTGAATGCAGAACTTTTACAGCTTTCGAATGAAGCCCGGCGTAAACATCCTGAAATCAAAGAGGTAAGGATTCTCTTGTGTACATAAATGTGCGTTTATACCAGAAATGCAGTCTGGGAATGCATTCTATCGCATGCCTAAGTTGATTTACGGAAAGATTCATAACTTGCTTACACAAATTTCGTCAAAGGCAGCAGAAAGATCTATTATTATTCTACGCACGCTAAAAGATCCCGGGCTAGATATATCACAAGGTGTGGCACGAGATCTTGACGTATCATCGTTGTCTTCTTCATGATTTGAACTTTGATTGTAATATGTTATCATTTATAGAACTTGCGAAAAATAAAGATTTTTTGCGACCATTTCTTCTTGCTTGCGAAACAAAACATGTCAAATTAATTACCATATCTATAGGCTGTCTTCAAAGATTGATATCGCATCATGCAATACCCGAGGTGGGATCAAACATATATTTTAGAGTGGTGATCGATTATATGCTGGATCATTGTGTAATTATCTCGAGGATTGTCTGTTTTTTTTTTTTTAGTCTTCGGTGAAAACAATTCTCAAGACACTTAACGACATTATGTCACAAGGAGTTGATATACAACTTAAGATATTGCAAACAGTACCACCGTTACTAAGAAATTACCAAGCATTACACGGCGATCTTCTGGCGGAGGTAATGGCAAATAAGTCGAACATTTTATAAGCACTTTCTCAAGCCAGTACTCTAATACTCTGATAAAAATTCAGGCTTTACTAGTTTGTTTTCGCCTTCAAGATTCAAAAATTGTAGTGGTAAATAATACAGCGGCCGCTACTCTTCGTCAATTGGTAATCAATATTTTCGAAAAGGTCCAAGAAGAGGATGAGATCCACGAAAAAAATGGTTTCTTTCATGAAATTTTGATACTTTATGAAATTTTAATAGATGTACATTTGTAATAACTTTCATATCTCAAAATTTTGGAAGGATCAATACCACCTACCTCGACTACAGTATCAGTTCAAGGAGGAGAAATATCACTCCGTCCTTGTGCGAAGGATGCCTATTATCTTTTTCAAGATTTGTGTTTATTGACTAATTCCGAACAACCAGTTTACATTAGATTACATAGTTTGTCAAGGACATTCGGATTAGAATTAATCGAGTCGGTGTTGACGAATCATTCCAGACTGTTCAAACCAGTTTGTATTTTGTCCGACTGTTCATCTAAAGTGTAGTATTGATTATAATGTCGCAATGTTTGAACTTTTTTTTTTTTTCCTTCAAATAGCATCCAGAATTTGTGTCCTTATTGAAGGAACGTGTCTGTCCTCTTATCATCAAAAACTTTTCCGACAAATACGATTTTCCAACTATCATGCGTTTAATGCGGGTAGTTTACATTTTGCTTAAGCAGTTTAACGACATTCTGGTAAATTCTTTTTTTGAACGCGCTTCCGGTTTTTCACAGCGGCTGGTTGAGCAGAGTAATTGAATCGATGAATTATGCTCTTAAGAGTTGTTACTCTTCTAATATACACCCACAAAAATAGGTTATGGAATGCGAAATATTTCTCAACATGTTTATCAAGTTTCTGGAGCCCGATAATCCATTATGGCAACGAGTCATCGCAATGGAAATATTTCGCGGTATTTGTGTGGATGGCAAATTACTTCGTTCCATTTATAATTGGTACGATAAACAGGGATCTTCTACGCACGTATTTCGAGATATGATAAATGTCTTCGGAAAATTGGCAGCTGAAAAGCCTCAAGTATTAGGTGTCAGTAGTCACTCGTTGATCGGACATTCACATCAAGGTAGAGAGAGTATAGAGGTTCCTGGCATGACTGGTGTTGGGATGGGAGGTTCCGGACAAGTTGAGGCGGGTTTGAACATTGCAAATTCGACAATGAAAGTCCAATGGTAAGTGTCCTAGTGTTTACACATGAAGATGTTAATGATGTAAAAATTAATTAACAACCTTGGCTTTCGACGCAATAACACAATATCAGTGTTGACCAATTGGATAAAGTGGATCCACCACCGATCCCTGAAACATACCTTTATTATCTCGCGCTACTATGTCTTAATTCTATAGCAGACGGCCTGCATAATTTCGTTCTCACGATTTTCACCGACGTCATGCAGAAGCATTCGTCAGAAAAAAACGCGTTAGAACGTCAAACTCTTACTTCAACATTTTCGACAAATTCTTCGTCTCCTTCATCATCTCCACAGATGCAAACGACACAACAGCCCACAGTTTTCGGTGTCTCTGCGCTAAAAAAACTTGAATCTCACTCATTCTATAAGGAGATTTTACTGGTCACCGAAATGGCAAATACTGCATGGCCAGGATTGCTCGCCGCTCAATCATTTTTCCTCACAACCAATCTTGATGATGAATTATTTTCAGGAGTCTTGCGTGCTTACCAAAACTTTACGATTGTGTGTGGTGTGCTTCAATTGTCAACACCTCGTGATGCTTTTTTGACAAGCTTGTGTAAAGGAGCTGTTCCCCCTAGTGTCGTCGCTGCGTTCTTTTCAGAAAACAAGGCAACTCATGGTGCTGGCGGTTCCAGTGGCTCCTCAAATGACGGATCATTATCGGTCACCTTATCAGATAGAAACCTGTCATGTCTAAAAATTTTGCTAAACATTGCACAATACCTCGGCGGAGTACTAGGTGAATCTTGGTATTTGGTGTTGGAAACGTTACAATTAGCGGACTACATTCTCTTTCCAAAACATGGGAGGAGTGGAACGAGGAGTCGCAGACTTGGATCTCAAAATGCAGCATCAACATCTGTCACTTCTTTATCTTCGCCTCATACCGCTGGAAGCAGTAATTCATCCCTTCTTCAATCCTCAAACACTCCTCCGGGTGCTAAGAGATCATATTCGTCGGGAGTTTCGTCTTATTCCCCACAACAAACCTCCATCGGATCATCCACACAAGCTGGTTCATCAGCGACTCATTTAGTCCCTCAACAAACAGCCATCGAAAATGATCTAAACATCTTATTGAATCAGATAAAAAAGCTATTTGATAATTGCAAATATCTCGACGACAATGCTTTGCAATTCTTCACCCGGTCCCTATGCAAATTAAATGCCTATACATGGGGATTGCCGTTGGACGGGGAACTTTCCGTTACAGCCCAGGAATCGGTAGCGGCGGAGAGTAAGACGCCAAGATATACACCGTTGAACACCCTAAGAGGGAATGTAAGGACGGTTTTGAAATTTTTTGTATTTTCAATTTATACCTATGCGGAAAACTCCATCATGCCAATTCCCTCTTACAATCCTGTAGAAATCTGACGAAAAATCTTTTGCCATTGAGAAATTACGTTCTGTTTCTTTATTGGATGGTCGTCGTTTGATTGCACGGGAACCATCACTAATCTGGAATTTAATTGTTTCACACTTGATAACGACTGCAAATTATATATCTACCCCACACGCGATTCGTATGCAAGCCTGTGAAGCATTGGCCGAGATTATTATCACATCCATGAGTTACGCAAGTTCGGCGCAGATGGAGAATGATGAGCGGATTCAAATGCAACTTCTGGTTGCGTTGAATCAATTGGTAAACAATTCGGACAGGACGTCACAAAATTCAAATAAAGGGTTTTACATCGACGTTCAGAAAATGGGACTTGAGACTTTGAATAAATTGTTGCAAACGTCTGGCCACTCTTTTGTATACGGGTGGGGAATGATTTTTGATATGATCAAAAGTGTGTGTTCAATAAATAATTTGGAGAATGAAGAGGAGGGCGATGTCACGACTATTGAGAGCCAAATTATAATTGACGCATCGTCATTCGGCGTATCCAATACCAAAACTTCGGGTCTAGTGCGCGTGGCGTTTCCTTCGTTACAGCTCATTTGCACAGATTTCTTGTCATTATTATCTCCTGAATGCCTGAAACAATGCATCAATACGTTAGGTGCATTTGGACTGCAAATGGATGATCTTAATATAAGCTTGACGGCAATTGGATTGTTGTGGAATGTGTCAGATTTCATACAGATCAAGCGAGCGGAACTGGAGAAGAACTCTGGGATGAAATATGAAAGATCTGAGGTTGTGAAAGATGTGAAGATCGAACAAGAGATTGAAACTATTGTTCAAGGCGAACTAACACCGCATACTATGAATGCCCTTTGGATGCTGTTGCTATTGCAGCTCTCAAAGATCTGCTCTGACACACGACCGGAAGTACGTAATGGCGCAAATCAAACCTTGTTTCGCACGGTTGACATGAATGGTGCTGTCTTAGAAACGCAAACTTGGCACACATGCATCTGGCAAGTTTTATTTCCACTATTAGATTCCATTCAGTTGGCTTCCGAGAAAGCAGTGAGAGCGATGCACCAACAGCAACAAGCCATGGGTTCTGAGAAGCACACGCCACAGAAAGAATTAAACGGTTTTATGATTCACCATTCGCGAAACACAATTGAAAAACAATGGGATGAAACAAAGGTGCTGGTGTTAACGGGAATATCAGGGATAGTTAGAAACTTTTTACCGATATTATTAGCTTTCCAAGATTTTCGGGAAGCATGGGAATTGCTGTTGTCACATTTGCACAAGTCATGTTTGTATTCAAATCAGGAAGTTGCAATTGCGTCTATCAAATCCTTGAACACAATAATTCAGTTTCACGAGGACGAAACCAATACTGATGAATTGAGAAAAAAGGTTTTACCATTTTGGCAAACTGCATGGATTGTTTGGGAGAAGATAGGTTTGGGAATTATCGCGTCGGCTGACCAAAAAAAAAATGAGGCAAATAACGTTTCCACCTCACCACCTACGGACAATACGGTATCAGCCTCATCAAATTTCATTCAGGAGACTGTCACTGCCTATATCATTTCATTTGGTGACCTTTATAAAGTCATACGCTCCACTTTTTCGATCGAAGAGATAAGAAGACTGTTGAAAGTCGTCCAGGGAATATTGACCTATCCTAATAGTCCTTCGTATAGGCCAGATCATGATTACCT